AGCGACTCTCAGCTCGTGGTCAACCAAATCCACGACCAATTTGAGTCTTAGACTCCCTTAATGGCGAGCTACCTATAGAAGGTGCAGGAGCTCATTTAGCAGCTCGAGCATTTCGACATCCAGTAGATCCCTCGAGACGACGCCCTTTCAAAGCTCGCCAACTCGCTGCAAACCGACCTTGACTCAATTGTCCGGTTAGACATGCTGGCCCAGTTGAGCATCGCATCATCATCCATCCTCATCCTTCCAGTGAAACATGGCTCATCTTGGATGCACCCCATAATCAAGTATCTTCGAGAGAGCACTTCCCCGAAGGATTGAGCAGAAGCGAAAAGACTCCAACATAGAGCATTCAGGTATTGCCTAATACAAGGTCAACTCTACCGTCATTCCCGCATGCTTCCATACTTGAAGTGCCTCCCCCCAGCCGATGCAGACCACGTCCTTAGGGAAATACTTGAGGGCATTTGCGGAGATCACCCCGATGCGTGCACACTAACCCATAAGGCGCTCCGAAAGGGGTATTTCTAGCCGACGATGAAGCAGGATGCCGTCCAGTTAATCTAGAAGTACGATAGTTTCCAACATCACTCTAATCTCCATCACCAGCCTGCGGCCCCTTTGAAGTCAATCGCCAGCTCATGGTCGTTTGCCCAATGGGGAATGGACATCCTTGGCCCCTTCCCCACCACAATTGCGCAGAAGAAGTTCCTTCTCGTAGCAGTGGACGACTTTACAAAGTGGGTAGAAGCCGAAGCTTTGGCGCGCATCACCGCCCACAATGCCCGAAACTTCCTTAGGCAGGGAATCAACTGTCGCTTCGGTATCCCGTGCGTGATCATCACAGACAACGGAACACAATTCACTAACAAGAAGTTTGAGGCCCTCTGTGCCAACCTAAGGATCGATCATCGGACTATCACAGTACACCGACCTCAAAGCAACAGGCAGACTGAGGTAACCAACCACATCCTACTACACGGCATGAAAACACGCCTAGATCAAGCCAAGGGAAGGTGGGTTGAGGAGCTGTCGAGCATTCTCTGGGCCTACAAGACGACCCCGCGAACTTCTACTCGAGAGACCCCTTTCAGTCTGACCTACGGGGCCGAAGCCATGATCCCCATGGAAATAGGTTCCCTAACCCTTTAGACCGAACTCTTCGACGAGGGGCAGAATGACGAAGATCTACGTGCGGAGTTGGACCTAGTAGAAGAAGCTCGGGACCAAGCACATGTGAAGATGGTTGCACAACCACAGAAGGTGGCACGACATTACGATTCTAAGGTAAGAAGACGTGAATTCAACACAAGCGACTTCGTTCTAAGCAAAGTCATAATCCCCACACCAGGAGAAGGAAAGTCCGGACCGAACTGGGAAGGGTCGTACAAGGTCACCAGAGTCCTCGAACCGATTACTTATAGACTTGAAGACCTCGAAGGCTGACCAATACCAAGGAGTTGGAACTTGGGAAACCTCAAGATGTACTACCTGTAGACCTACAAGCAATAAAAGATGTACTACCTGCACACACCACATACGCACATGCTAAGTTGCACTGCCAACTGAGCTGACTCCGCCGATAGCCAACCTGTTGAGTCCATTACGCCCAGCTTGGCAGCACATTGCCGAGCAAGCAACCCGACTTAGTTGCCAACGGCTGAGCCTAAACGTGGAGGAAGAACGCCCCCGCCTGCCAAGGCCTGAGGGCAGTCGAGGAACTCCGCACAACCGTCGACTTAACGACTGAGCTAGCTGGGAAATGGCTAGCCCTAGAAGGGCCCTAAAGGCTCCTGAGACCAAAAACTGAGTGTTCCATGGCTAAGAGCTCGGGAACCGAAAGATCTCGAACAACGACATCTCGGTCAACACAGGACTTTGGATGGCGAGGCATAGCCCAGCTGGCTACACCTCGACCAATGACACCTCGGTTAGCACAAGATTGGGGACGCCGAGGCCCAGCCCGACCGGCTACACCTCGGTCAACACAGGACTGGGAACGCCAAGGCATAGCCCGACTGGCTACACCTCGGCCAACTACACCTCAACCGGCACAAGACTAGGGATGACGTGGCATAGCCCGGCCGGCCAAGGCACAACCAACCCCGACCCATGCAATAGCACGGCCGGCCACTCTTCGACCAATAAAATCACACAAGATAGAGGCATAACCCAACCCAACACACACAACAACCCGGGCAGATGGGCTTCGGCTAGAAAAGAGGCACAAGTGTAGCAACACGTGATCAAATAAAGAAACATTAACATTTAACTAAACTGTTCATTACGTCGTTTAAGGTTTGGCCTACCGAGCCCAAAGAAACACAGAAAATAATAAACATAGGAGGCAGCAGATCAATCCTCGGCGGCAAAGTCAGCAGCACCGACAACGGCTTCGACCTCATCTTCAGCTCCCTTGGCGGACCCTTGCGGACAATTTGGATCAAAGGCATCCCATCCTTGCGACTCAATGGCCAACTCTAGGTGGCAGCGAAGGATCCTTCATCGGAAAAGATTGAACCCAATCGCGAAGGAAGCCTCATCATACTCGTCCATATGCAGTTGCATCTCCTCTGATGCCTTGTACTCATTGACGGCTTCCTCAGCGGCTTCCTGCCTCAACTTGTCTCGCTCATCCTTAAGCTTGGCGATCTCTCGCTTTAGCTCCTGGACAAGACTAGCCTGCTCAACCAACTATACCTTTAGCTCGGTCGCCTCCCTCTCCAGCGCGGCCAACCGCTCCCCAGCGGCTTGAAGCTCAGCCAACTAGGTCTTCTGTCGTAGATACTCAGAGTGTTCTTGCTCGTACGATGATCGAAGGTCTTGGAGACGATCAGCCAGTACGACCGCCGCACAAGCATTCTGCAGACGAACATGATAAGTATATCGAAAAGGAGAGCAAAACACAAGGAATAAGAAGAAGAGGATTTGCCTGGGCAGTAGACCGCAGCAGCGCACACTCCAAGGCTCTGCTACCGACCCCAACCGATTCCTGAGCTATGGACATTGTCATGATTCCCTATAGTAGCTGCTCGGGAACCCTGGGCGTCTCCAAATTATCATCTACGCGAACTAACCACCTCGGCTCGCAAAGACCCGAGCTGCCTGCCTGCCTCAATTACCGACACACTAGCGGGACGACGGACCCCTTCGGGGTCAACCACGGCAACGTCGTCCTCCTTGACCTCTTCTTTGCCGACGAGCCGCCCTGTCCTTGGATCGTGGCCGCTCTTCTACCTCAGGACAAGTCTCCGGTTGCATACCGGCTCGTTCCTGTCTTTGTCAGAGCGCCTTCATTCGGTGAACAATCTCTTCCTCGCTGGCCATACTCATACCTACAACACAGGATACCCAAGGTAAGTACAAAGCAGGTAAGGTAAAATTTACCTCGGCAAACAAAAGTAAAAGAAACAGATCGGCCGCCCTTTCCATCAGCCCGACGAGCATCAACATCTCCGAGCATGTGTAGGAGCGTGTGTAGGCCACACATTATTAGGGATAATCAGATCCGAAGTCTAATTAGGTATCAAACTTTTGGAGTCCAATGATAGCTTTAGCGGTTAGGACCCAAGCTAAACAACCCCTAATAAGCTCAACTTGGAAGTTAAATGCATATATGGTAAATATTATTATATAATATTTATAACAAATTTTATATTAATATATATAGAAATGTTATATATATTTTTATACTAGACTATAATTAAATTAAAATTTTAATTTGTAAAAAATCATAGTTTTATAATTAACATAAGCCTCTTTATCAACAGAAAATGTGCAAGCCCGAGCCCAAGCCCGACCTAACCATCGAGCCTAGATCTTGAGCCCGAGGGCAACCCTTATATAAAGCCCGAAGCCCGATCTATACACAAAATGTCTTATTTTCAATATACTTTTATAAACTAACATTATATTAATTTAGTAATAATATAATAAACTAATTTATATTTCCTAATAGTAAATTGGTATTTATTAATAATTTAAGAAGCATATATATATTATATTTATTATATATAACATAAGTACTTTTTATATACGTAATAGTATCAGGCCGGGCTTATTTGAGAAAGCTCGAGCTCGAGCCCACGAGCCTAAAATTTTGTCTAACCCTAAAAAATAACAGATCAAGCCGGGTCGGGCTATCTGACTACCTAGCCCATGAATAAGTCTAATGTGTATATAAATAATTGTATACATAAAAATGTCATAAGAAATAAAAATTTAAACATCTTTTTCAATTTTTTAGAAAATTGACCTCTCATTGCTTGGCTCTGTCCGTTGCCTGGCCTGGCCCAAGGCTCGACCCAACACGACTCAATTTACACCTCTACTTGAACCTACCCAATGTTGGGGACAAGGTAGGGAAATTCGAGAATTCCCCATCCTTAATGAGGAGTGGGGTGCTTTGCCTTGAACCCACCTGACACTGAGAACGGGGCGATGATGGGGTAGAGTGTGTTGACTATGGGTAGGGATAGGGATGGGGTGCCCTGCCCTAAACCCACCCTGTTGTCATTCCTATATAATAGTTAATTATTAGTGAAATTAATAAAAATGTTAGATTTTGTAATTATTTAAAGTAAATCAAATTTTCATTTTAAAAAATAATAATTATTAAAATTACTATAAATTATTAATAAAACCAAATTTATTAAAAAATATTTATTCATATTAAATTAACAATAATTATTTTTTATAAATCAATATTAAATAAAAATACAATTGTTAAAATTTTAGATATTAACAATAACTTTAAATACTTTTTATTAATTAACAACAGATTTTGCTTATTAATTTAATATTAATTAATAATAAATAAAATTATTAAATATTTTGGATTTTCCCGTGCATTGCCCCCGCTAGTAATAAAGAAAAATAAAACCACTTAATTGAAAATGTCATAAAAATCCATCCTTAATTTTACTTATAAATAATATCCGTGCGATGCACGGGTCTATGACTAATTCCCTAATATACCTTGGGAATCCAAATTCCCAAAACCCTCTTCTAAGTTCTTACTTGTAACTTTGGAAGGCATCATCCTCTTGGCCTCTTTTAGTAAGCAAGACTCGCAGTCACAGACTCATTCTCGTTCTCGTAGCCGGTGAAATTGTTTTCTGTGAAATATTTTCAGTTCAAAGCACGCTTCGGTATTCAGAACTCTAAGAGGTATTTACTTGGTCTTTTTCTTCTTCTTATTTACATCTCTTCTTTCCTGTTCGAAAATTTTGCCCAATCGAGAAATCATAATTGAAGTAGGGTCTCCCTCCCTTCCTCCTCCCTCTCTCTCTCTCTCTCTCTCTCTCTCTCTCTCTTCATGGGCGTGCATGCATGTGCTGGAATTATAGTGAAGTTTGAAAGTGATTTGACAGAGAAGCTGAACCCCTCCTTTATTTCTAGAATCTGGATTGCTCATGATATCTTCCGTTTGAGATGATTGTCTAATGAAATATTTAATTTTGATGGAACCTCCATGGTTGAGTTGTTTCTAATTCAAACTTCCAATGGGGATAAAGAAGATTGCTAGGCGAGATTTTTTGGTGAGGTTGTCAACTAGAGTTCTAGGGAAACCAACTTTTATACTTTCTAAAGCTAGACTATAGAATTGCATGGTGTTGGATTTGGAAAGTCTTACCATTTTAAATTCAGACGCGGATGAACAAATGAAAGAAAGAACCGGATATGAATTCGGAATTTCATGCATCTCATAAAAACGGTTTTTTAATGCAGTTAATTATCTTGATTCACATCCACCTTAGATGAAGTTAAGCTACAGGTTCTTAAGAATAAGCTTAAAGAACTACATGTTAGAATCTAAGATTATGATTATAGATGTAAAAGATTAGGGCCTATATCAGCATAAAAGATAAATAAGGGTTTTGAATGCGAGATTTGGGAAATTTTATTGATTTTTAACCTTGATAGGATTTTATGAGGAAAGTACTGTAATGTGGCAGGAAGGGAGAAAATGAAAAAAGAAGTTAACTAGAATCAAACCCATGCACTTAAGTTAGTTTGTTTTCATTTTTATGTTATTATCTCTTTTAAATATTTTTCACACTGTTACAATCTTTCTTTGTGCATTAGAGAAGATAGTTTTCTCTTTCAATTGCATTTAGCGTTGTTCCAAGTTCCAAATTGTTTGTGTGTCTTATTTTGATTAAAAAAGAAGAGCTGTTTTTGCAATCTACTGATTTTTACTCTTCAAGGGTATTGCATTTTCTGATTCTTCAAATAGAGCTAATAAAAATCCTTTTTTGGGGTAGGTGGAATTTTATGAAGTTCGTGAGCATAGGGAAATTGTTATTGATTTGGTATTTTACATAAGTTCTGATTTTCTTTACTTATTCTCTCTTTTTTTTTATAGGTTTTCTTTACTTATTCTCATTTCTATGGTTTTGTTTGATTTGGAACAGATATGGCAGAAGAAGCTCCTGTTGACTTGAAGGAAGATGTGCCAGAAGTAAGTTTGCGTTTCTTCTTTCTCCTTTTCTCTTTTTTTTTTGATAATAAATTAAAGTTTATTAAAAGAAAAAGGGAAGAAAGCGGAATCTCAGGTGACAAGATATTGCCAGTATACCCAAAAAGTAATCATCAACCATTCCTTAACCGGTTAACCCTTACAAAAAAAGTATCTCTACCCAACTACATCAAGAAAACTAAAAAAGAGAACCCAAGAAGAACTCCTTCAAACTCAATCTGTGCCAGTTTCCACAACCTAACTGCATATGGACTCAACCTTTTCAAACAATGAGCATATAAGAACCTCATAACTACTAGATATCTGCCCAAAAACGCCTCAGTGAACAATCCTTTCTCTCTACAACTAACAGCTCCTTTCCCCCAACCCTTCAAAATGTCCCTTTAACTTTTATTTTTCACTTCAATACATCATATGCTTGATTGTTGACATTTAGTGGTGTTGGAATTTTATGTGCTGTGGTAGTGACTAGTGAGCAGTGTTTTCAGCTTGTTGTTGACCCAGCCGGTTGGATTGGTGACGGGTGACCGGTGACCCATGACCCAGTTACAATCCTGGTTTAGGTTAATCTATAACCCACTATATTACAAAAAATTGGTGGCTTGGTCAATAAATGTGTCGACCCAGATGGTTATCTGAACCATTTAACTGGTTACTGATTTTTGTATTACTTTTTCTTTGAGTTTTTAATAATGATAAATTCACATGTTGACCTGGAGATAAAAGTGGTTCAACCTCCAGGTTTGGTTTTAAAACACCGATTATTTTTTCTTTTAATTTTAATCTTTTAATCATTAACCATGAACAAAGAAGTTCCGTAATTTTAATCTTTTGATCATTAACCATGAACAAAGAAGTTCCATAATTTTAATCTTTTGATCATTCAAAGCATTAAACTTGTCATACTGAGTTCTGTCTCTTTTGCATGTCACCATGTGATTTCAAACCACTGGTTCCAGTTTTTTGTGCCTTGTGCTTTTAAAACACTGGTTCCAGTTTTTTGTGCCTTGTGCTTTTAAAACACTGGCTGGTCCTGTGTACCAAGTGTCTGAGTTGATATGAGCTGGTATCTTATAGACTTATACCTTTGTGCTTATATATTAGATACATATTTATGTCATTGAAGCTTAACTTTGACTGTATAATATGCTTTTTCCATTGAAGAGGGCCACTTTGTACTTTCTGTTATTTTTATTTTGGTATGGGAGTCAATAACAGGCAATGCCAGTTCCTTTAACCTTATAACATGGTTGGGGGTGTACTTCCTTTATACCTTAATAGGTACTTCTTGATCTGTTGTTGATAATAAAGGATTTGGTCCATATTCCATACTTCTATGCCTCTGTTGCCTAAAGTTTCTTTATATTGATAAGATTTGTAGTGTCCAAATTCTATGTTTATTTTGGAGGTTGATATTATTTTCTTTACCATGTTGGCGAACACCCCCTAAACTACAAGTCAATTGTTTTTTCTTTGTTGGAAAATTTATCAGTTTTCTCATCAATTTGACTGATTTTTGTCACTTACCTATTGCAGCTATGCCATGGTTCTGTTTAACTCATTGAGTTTCTAGTTCTATATCATAATATCATAACATTATTTTTTGAACAAGATAATATCATAACTAACGACGTTATATAGCCACCCATCCAGGCTTAGGACCAGAACTACAACCTAACATGATTAAAATTATCAGGGAGACACTTTTCATGACAGTGAACACAGGATATGTATTTGAACATTGTTTCCTGATTTGTTCTCTCCATATTATTATAAGTCTTTTCTTCCATTAATCGCTACTTTCCCTTGCGCATCCCTTATTGAAAAAGCAACATCTCTATCTTTTTACCTTTACTAGATCATAGAAAATTATAAGCAAAAGAAGAAAGCACTCCAAGGTTATGGAAGAAGATTTCAATAAGTTAACATTTACAATCTTTTTTTTTTGATAGGTAATCATGAAATTAGTCATTAAAATAAAAGAATATTATGTACCTGCTTGGGTCATCTTTTCCTCCCCAAGTGATTCTCTTCAAAGAGTATCCCTCTTTTTCTACCAACTTAGCATTAACTTGAAGTTTGATGGTAGCTGAAGATGCCATCAAGATTTAACTGAAATTAGAGGGGTATTTGTCAAGATTGATGGAAGCATTTTTGGGCCTTTGGAACTACCTTTTTTTTGTTTGGTACTGTCGACACAAATTTCTTGCATAAATTTGGAGCACAAAAATTTAACGAAGACAAATCAAAGAAGTTCAATGTTTTTTTTTTTGAGAAATGTTAGTGGGATACAAACTCTTTTTTTTGGCAAAGAAAATCCTCTGATTCTCTTGTCACGAACACAACCCGAACTTGTATTTGTAGCTTGTCACAAACACGATCGGAAAAGCTTGGTGACTTGTAGTTGTAGAAGGAACTTGCAGTGACCAATTGTATGCAAGGTTCAAAGTATCGTTACGTATCGGCCCATATTGACCGATAGGTATCGTTCCGGGATCCTTCCGATACGCCCCTACAGTTGGTGTATCGGGGGTTTGACTGGTTCAGGGGATGGAGGGGTCCTAGACCGACTCCCCTGAACCATTTTTGAAAAAAAAAATAAAAAAAAAGTAAAAAAGCAAGTATCGAAATGGGCGTATCGGGCGTATCGATATTTTGAACCTTGATTGTATGTGAACAAAGCTTTTGTTCACGATTAATTGTTGATTTGAACATGAACCACAATGCTAACCTTTAGTTGTAAGAGGTCCCTTGGTTGTAAAATGTAATAAATTGATGGAGGCCTTCGTGGTTGAAAGGATTTGTCGAAAACATTTTGATTCTAGTAATTTGGCAGAGGCTTTTGACTGCAGTAAATTGAAGACCGAAATTCCCCAATCGATGTAGCACAAACTAGTAGTAGCTTTGAATCTTCAATAGTTGAGGAGATAAAAATTTGGATCTTCCTTCCTTGATCTAGATGCAACCATCCCTTCATTTTTCTTGTTAAAAGAAACAGAGCCAATGGAGTTGAATTGAGGAGCCGAAGGGGGGGGGGAAGAGCCGAAGGAAGAACCCCTTGCTCTCCTTCATCCATCTATTAATATGGGGGCCCACTAGATTGATGGTTTGGTGATCAATTAAAAGCAAATTAGAAAAATGGGTTGGATTTGTCTCCCACTTATTTAAAGCCAAGTGCCACTTGGCAAAAGGGGTTGGGCCCATACAGCTCTTAACTTATTTGACCGACCATGGCTTCCAAACTTGGTTGATCAAGCAACCCCCCTTGTGTGCTGATTTCCTTTTAAATGGGTTTCTCTTAATTATAATTTGTATTATTTTGGAACGTTAGTTGGTTTGAGATCCCCAATTAACAGATCGGTGAGCAATCTTTGATTCTCATTTAAGGCTGCATTTGTTTGAGGTGTAAATTCAAATTTTACACCATGGAAAAAATGAACCGATTTAGTGATCAGTGGAAATTAAAACTGGTTCATTTTGAAAATTTACACCTACCTTTTTTGGTTGTCAAGGTGTAAATTCGGTGAGATGGTGCAGAGGAGGAGAAGACGGTCTACAGAGGAAGAGGGAAGCAGGGGTAGAAGAAGAAGAAGAAGAAGAAGAAAAAGGAGGAGGAGAAGAGAGAACGAAAGAGAGACAGATCAAACAAAGCTAGAGGGGCCGCTGCAACTGCTCGACTCGGTTGAACGACCCAAAAAAAGCAGAACAAAATCCAAACAACCTACCATTTCATACTGAATGCGTTCTCTTGACCTCTTCGTTGTGTCTCACCTCGCCACCAAACCAAACCCCTGAAAGTAAAAACCACGAAACAAGCCCTAAAATACGATATCCACCATGAACGACAAAGCTCATGTTAATAGCTATTATTTTTTCTTATGTATAGTACCGCAGGGTTACTATTGTACTTTTGCTCCTTTTTTATTTTAGTTGCTGTCGCCCTAGTATATATATTAAAAAGCTACGCCACCAACAACATCTTTGAGCTCTCAGTTCTCTCTTATCTCTTCTTCTCTCTCTTTTCTCTCTTCTTTCATTCTTTTCTCTTGCATAACATGGTATCAAAGCAGGACTACCAGATCTGAAAGGAGAAGTCGAGCGAACAGTCCATTTTCTTCTTTGCACCAGATTTCCAGATCTGTCGCCCTCATCTACTGTTCAGCTGATTGAAGATCTCACACATTGAAGTAACCTTTCTCTCTCTCTTACCTTTTTTTCTGGTCGTGTGCCAGGGCAGAACCTGTAYTAGGTTTGCCGATTGGATGTGAGGTGATCAACACCTCTTTCTTTCCTTTTTGTGGGGTCGACTGATCCCTGAGAAACTGTAGGTCGTGAGGACCTTTTTTGTGTGCTGCAACATCGGCTTTTATGGTGAATTGTGGGTCAGAAAGTGACCAATACCTCTTGTGTGCTGCAACAACAGTTTTTATGGTGAACTGAAGGTCAGAAAGTGGCCAGTACTTGCTGTAATAGTAGTCCTGTTGATGCGTATGTCAAGAGATGACCTGTATGCATTGTGGCAATACTTGTGTTGAACTTGTAAGTCAAGGGATGACCTGTTAGTGCTGTAACAACACCTGTAGTAACACTTTAAGGCTGTGTACCCCATTTAAGAGTTGTTTTTGAATCTAAAATCATGAGTGGTGAAGATTCTGCTACATCCGGTGTTTCCTCAATGCTGAATGGAATGAGTGGGGGTGTGGACCTATTCTTTCCCATGGCTGTTATCCCTCTTGATTGTTTAAATTATTTAGAGTGGTCAAGAGGGATCAAGTTGTACATCATTGCAAGGGGAAAGATAGGCTATATTAATGGGAGAATCAAAGAACCACATTCTGGGAGTGCTGAATATGACAGATGGAACCGGGAAAACAACATAGTCATGTCTTGGCTTTTAGTTTCTATGCAACCTCAAATAAGAAGGAATTTCATGTGGGTTGAAACGACAAATGAGATATGGGAACAAACAAAATCAACATATT